AACGTACTACGAACTTACGTACGACGCGTCCTCCTACGTACTCTTTCCTACCTAACCCAACTTACTTCTAACTACCTACTACTCTTCTTCTCTCTCTCTCTCTCTCTCTCTCTCTCTCTCTATAAACCCAACTTAGCTCTCTCTCTCTCCCTATAACAATAAGCTCTCTCTCTCTCTCTCTCTCCAGCGAACACGAAAAAGATGAGCCTTCTGCAAATCCCCGGCGAAATCACGACACCAAATCAGAAGTTTCAGACATGGAGAAACAACGCCATATTCCTAGAAAATGACACAGATGAGACCCCCATTAAATCTTCTTGGTCTTCCCTCCAGCCCATCTTAACAGATCGATCCAATCTCTTACAGCCCGATCTTTACAAAGAAAATCGAAGCCCTGAATCTCGACTCAGTTCTTGTGACACTCCCAACTCCCTTAAGCCCCTTACTCCCCTCTCAGTGAAGCCATTAAAGCCCCAATCCAAACAGGTTCTTGGTCTTCCTTCTCCATTAAAGAACGCCAATGGTGATCAGAGCTTATCTGCCGGTATTGAAGAGATAGAGAGAGAGATTCAGAGGTTAACGTCGAGGTTGGCGGAGCTCAAACTCCAACAAGCGGCCATTGAACAAAAGAGGGCCAAAGGATTGCCGGACACTCGCGTTTCCGGCAAAGAACCCAGTCAAATTTCCAGAGCTCCATCGGAGCAAAGACAACCAAGGCCTGGAAGAATCGTTGCAGCAAAGTTTATGGAGCAGAAACAAAGCCCTAATCCATTAACTGAGAAATCAAGCGCACAACCTAATCGCCGGAGACTCACCTTTGGGCCATCAGATTTGATCAGATTCAGGCAAGAATTAGCTGGAAAACCTGACGTGTCCCCTTTTCCGGCCACTCAATCTCGCCGAAAATCTTGTTACTCGAAGCTACCTGAAATCAAAGAAGAGAACGGAAAGAAGGAAATCAAACCAGAGAAAGAAAAGCCCAAGGGGTCTCGAAGCTTGAGTCCAAAACCTCGAAAATCCGCCATTAAACCCTCCGACACAAGACAAGGAATCTCCACAGTCGGATCAAAGCAACCAATAAAGAGAACCTTGGGTAACAATTCTCACTTGCCCTCAAAGAACCTCTTCAATGAAACACCAAAAAAACCAGCAGCCAAAAAGCCTACATGCCGGAAAAGTGGCCGGGAAGTAGCGAGCCGCTACTCCAAAGAACTGCCGGAAAAAGCTTCTGTGGCACGTTCTTTACCTGGAGCCACACAACGGAAGAGGTCTTTGCCGGAAAATGAACCACCGGAAGACGAGAAGAGAGGGGATAAGAAAAGGGTTTCTTTGGTGAAAGGAGATTTGTATAATGGCAGCGTAACCTTTTCTCATGGTAAATCACAAGGGCCGGATTTTTTGCCAGAAAATCGCCGGAATATTGGCCGTGAAATTCAGATGGCCAGAAAAAGGTGGTCGAAACCTTGTGACAAAGGAGACAAAAGTGAGAAAATCACCGGGAAAGGTCGCCGGAAAGTTTTGGGCGAATGTCCGCCCTCGCCAATTTCGTCGACGGCGCGGTTCCTGCCTAAGATCAAGACTGTGCGATCGACGGCTCAGAGTCCTCGAGATTCGGGGTGTGTGAAACGGACGGCGGACGGGGCTGGGAAGAAGACGTACTTCACGGAAGGGGAGAATGAGGAGCCCGACACGTGTCAAGTCCTGTGCTTCAATGGTGAGTGAGAGTGGCAGGTGTTGATCGTGGATTTTGGTGCTTTCCGTGTCACATATACCGTTCGATTTTTTTTTTCCTTTTTTATATCTTTGCGACTGTTTCAATTGGTTCAAGGTTCCTTTGCCTTGTTTTCCTTGCTTACCGGTGCTTTTGGGTGTTCTTTTTTTAATTTTTCTTTTCATGTTCATGTGTAGAACTCCATGAGTCCACTCTTAAAAATTTATTTTTGAGACAGATTGGTGGACCTAACTTTCAATGGAGGAATGATCCTCGGAGACCCGCCCACAGGCGTGTGAGATTTGATTTTTTTTTTTGGAGATCTGCTAAATTTAATGGTGATTCTTTGGGGTCCTACACACAATAGGTGTAGGAGGGTCTTTTCAATGACTTATTTATATCTATATAATATTATTAAGAAAAAATTACATATATATCGGTTATAATTTCTGTCAGTGTTTTAAAAAACGTCGAGTCGAATCGGAC